AGAATTCAGGTAACAACTGCAGTATTTGCCTATGAACAAATCTTTTTTCTCCACCTATTATAAAACAGAGCAGAAGGGCTGGGGCTATTGCTCAGTGGTAGAATGTGCTTGCCTCGAATATGTGAGGGTTCAAATCTCAGCACCACATAAAAGTAAACAAATAGGGGCTGGGGTTGTGGCTCAGCAGTAGAACGCTGGCCTAGCACGTGGGAGGCCCTGGGTTCAATCCTTGGCACCACATAAAAATAAATGAACTACAACTAAAAAGTTTTTTTAAATTTTTTTCAAAAAAGTAAACATCCTTGGCACCACATAAAAATAAATGAACTACAACTAAAAAGTTTTTTTTAATTTTTTTCAAAAAAGTAAACAAATAAAATAAAGGCATGCTGTCCATCTACAACTACAAAAAATTAGAAAAAAAAAACAGAACAGATGGGGAAAAATCTGTTTTCTTTAGGACTTTGAATGAGTACAAATGGAGAAACCTCATCAGCAAAGAATAGAGACAAAATAGCAGCACGGGTAATAACTAATTGTTACTTAGTATTATTTTAAGTAAATAATGAGAGGATCTTTTCAAAAAATCTCTCTAAATGATATCTGTCTCTTAAATTCTCAACCTTTCATTCCCTGCCTTAAGCAGCTAATGACTCGGGCTGGGGATATAGCTCAGTAGGTAGAGTGCCTGCCTCATATGCACAAGGCTCTGGGTTCAATCCCCAACATCACATACACACACACACACACACACACACACACACACACACACACATACAGCTACTGACTCAGAATCTGACAAGAGAAAGTCTCCTCTGATTTTTGACTCCAAATTCCCTACAATACATTCCAGTGGTGTCATCTATAAATTAAGGTTGTGTGTACCATCATAATTTTAACAGCCTACTGAATAATGGGAAGATCTATTCTATTGAGAGTAGAAAGTTTTTTAAGTTAAAACACAGCTTGTAGGCTTAACAGCACTTCCCTATTTTCTTTTTATCCTTTTTGTTACTTACAAAAAATCATAAAGATTCTCCAAAAAAATATGAAGGAAGGTTTACTTTATTTATTAAGACATACTCTTTATTTATGACTTCTCTGAAGTCATAAATAAAATTCTTTCACCCCTCATGACAACTACAGAATCAAAGCTTGAAACTAGAAATTGCCAACAAAGGAAAAATACCATCATTCTTATTCTAGAAAGGAAAAGAAAATTTCAAACCAAACCATATGATCCCTGTTGCCTCCTCTGATTTCATGTACCAACTCATCCCCTACTTGGTTCACTCTAGACATGCTGGTCTCCTGGTGGAAGCCTCCACATACCAGGCTCACTCCAGCTGTAAGAGGCTTTGTGCTTCCTATTTCTTATGCCTAAAGTCGACCAACCTGTGTGCCTCTTCTCCCTCCCTCCATTCACATGTTTCTTTTCCTCTCTTCCTTTAGTCTTCATCAAACGCCACCTTCTAAGTGACTAACCTCTTACTGGCAGACTACTTCTCTTCCTGGAACATGAGCTCCATAAGGAGAAAGATTACTGTCTGATTTTTCATGTCTTTTGCACCGTATTTCTTTCATTTAAAAATAATAAATTCCCTAATCAAAATTATAGCAAAATTTCATTAAAGGACTGAAGATATTAAAATACAAAAAAAACATTAAAATATAATACTCATGAATCTATACACTATATTACATTAAAAATAAAGTATCTGGGGCTATTCAGTAGTAGAGCACTTGCCTAGTATGTGTGAGGCTCTGAGTTCGATTCTTAGCACCACATATAATAAAAATAAATAAATAAAATAAAGGTCCAATGACAACTAAAAAAATATTTTTAAAAAATAAAAAGAGTAAAGTATAAGGGGGGGCTGGGGATGTGGTTCTGTGGTACAGCATCTGTCTGGCATGCATAAGTACCTGGGTTCAATCCCCAGCACTACAAAAATAAAGAAATAAAATAAAGTACCTGACTGGGGATGTAGCTTAGTGGTAAAGCACATGCCTAGCACAGGCAAGGAAATGGTTTCAATCCCCAGTACCATAAAAATAAAAAAAAAATTAAAAAGCATATTTAAGTATAGAAGGGATAAGGTGCTTCTTACTATGATAACTAAATATACCTACAGTGCTGAAATGGGCTACTAGCTTTATTTATATTAGGCAATGTTAGAATTTAAATAAAAGGCAACTGATAATATTATACCGCCCCCACCCCACTGCCAGAAGAAGGAGGAGGAGGTGGTGGAGGAGAAGGAGGAGAAGGTGGTGGAGGAGAAGGAGGAGGAGGAGGGAGGAAGGGCACTAAATCACCTTTAAATAAAATATTATATCCCCTATGCCTCTTATGTGGTACGACAGGGTTGAAAACTAGGAAGCCTGTTGCTAGATGCTCCAGTTAAAAGCAGGGACTCTACAGAATATAAGAATGGAATCACAAATGAGAGGAGCCAAGAAAAGTTGAAGGTTTAGGCCAAGTTAACAAGGGGAATGTTACAACACACTCTGAAAGCAAGACATGAGGGGTAAAATGAACTCAATGTCACTAACTGCAGCTTTCAGCACCTGATAAACAATAGATATCACTGTAAAAAGCAGAGGTACCAAAGGACAACATAGGACTCAGACAGAAGGGCTGGCCCTCTCAATCCTAGCACATAGTGAACTCCCAGCCATTCTAGGAGGAAAGGGGGAGGGAAAGAAATCTAAGAGATTCTAAACAATAACACTTTAAAAAAAATATTTACAATTTGAACAGGACTAAGTGATAATAAATATGATTAAAGGTAATTTTCCATTACCAAGCAAGATACCAAAAGGTATCAAATTATAGACAGACTAAATAAATATATTCTCTGCACATCTGAGTTGTACTGTCAGTAATCAAAACCATAACAAAAGCATCAGCAAATATCTGATCACATGTGGAAAAAAAAAGAATTTCTTAGGCATAAAAGCAAAGAGAAAAAAATGTTTTTAAAAGCCAAAAGATTAGACCATAAAATCTTTGTAATTTTGTAAAAAATTAAAATTCAAACTTAGAAAAATTACAACCAAAAAAATAGACTGAATATTAATACCTTTAACACATAACCGTGAAAATTGGTCAAAGTAATACTATAAAAATTAGTCAACTAAATTAGACAAATCACAAAGGATAAAACAACTAGCAAGGTGGGAGGGAGGGAAGAACAGAAGTTCAGTGGATTAGACAAAGGCAAATGAAGGGAAGTTGGGGGGGGATAGGAAAGACAGTAGATTGAATCATACATAACTTTCCTATGTTCATATTTGAATACATGACCAGTATAACTCCACATGGGAAGTTATACCCCATGTATGTATAATATGTCAAAATACATTCTACTGTCATATATAACTAAAAAGAACAAAGAAAAAAAAACTAGCAAACATCTGAAAAAATATCCAGCTTCATTAGCAATCAATAGCATTAAATTTTTTAAATTCCATTTTTTAACTATAGAACAATTTTTCAACTCAGTGTTGTAAGAGTACAAAAGATATTCTCATATACTATAAGAAATCAGGATAAACTTCAATGCAATTAGGCAATACATTATTCTTTTTAATTCTAATATTCCCTTTAAAATAATCTACCTTAAGGAAACAAACAAGGATGCAAACAAAGATTTGTTCATTAAGATTTTTTAACTCTAGTATTATTTATAATCAGAAAAGGGGGTAGGGGTGCAATCTAAATAACCAAAACTAGGCATACAATTATAAAATATACCTTGGTCACATGAAGCATTTTATAGCCAGCAAAAATACCTTTCAAAGATTATTTAAAGATATGAAAAACTGACCTATATTAGGTGAATACAGGGCATCATACTGCATATGCAGGATAAACAAATTAAGGCATACTCATACAAAGGAACAATATTCAGCAATAAAAAAGAATAAAACCCAGACATAAATAAAATGGATGAATCTCAACACAAACAAACAACAAACAAGAGAACTATTATACAAAGTAAAAGAAGCCAGACATACAGTGAATACTGTATGAGTAGATTTTATATAGCTCATACAACAGGCAAAACTAATCTACGCTGACAAAATGTGATTACTCCTGGAGTGAGAGTATGCTATCAGCAGGAGGTCTCTAGAAACCCTCAGAGAGATAGGAACTTTCTCTACTGTGATATAAGTAGTAATCAGACAAAGATAAACACATATAAATAGTCATCCAAGTATAAATAGATATATGCATATATAATAGTTATCAAGATGTACACTTAAGATCTGTATATTTCACTATATTATACCTCAATAAATAACTATTACAATTACACATGAAGACAATTTTGATTCGGTTAAATACATTAATATGCTTAAAAAAAAACAAGGTACATTAAATCAGAATATTAAGGGTGGCTAATTCTGGGATTACAACTTATTTATATTTCTTTACCTTTCTGTATTTTCCATATTCTCCACATGAGTTTTATATGACTTTTATGATCGGGGGGAAAAACTCCACAAAACTTTATTTTGAAACTTCTGCCATGCTTGTAAAAGAAAATTCAGTCATACTTGTAACTATCATAGAGTCATGCAATGTACAAAAAGACAATAAATCCTTGCTTCCTCCAATAAATTACCTATAAATTAGAAATACTTATGTTCATTCATATATTCAGACAAATCAAGAAAAACACTTAATTCTGCTTGGTGAAGGAATGAGAAAGTCAACTGAGAAGTTGACACTATAAACTTTGGGTTGACTTTAAAACATGGTCCTGCCTTCAACAAATACAGAGCTCTAATGACTCAATAAAAACTAATTTCTGAAAACTGTGGGGTTTTTTTAATGTCTTGCTTTACATTCCCCTCATGAATCTGATTTATCTAAATTCCATGCAAAGTGCACAAAGTGAATTGTAATTACACTGAAAATGCTATGAATTTCAGAAACTTTTCCAATATGCATAAATAATAATGAACAAAATCAAAGAAGACATACAAACCTCTGATTGTACATGCCCCGAAAGTTGTAATTAGCTCTATAATTTGGGAATGGCTTTGGATCTAAGGGCCTGTAGATGGCAGGCTCTCCCCTTTTCATAGCAAGCCCATTCAGTTCCACAGTTGGAGTTATACTGCCTGTTTTAAAAAAATATATATCTATTAAAGGCACAGAAGTGAAATATTCCACAATAAAATGTACAATCTAAATCTTTAATACATTTAATTACCATGGAAGAAGATGAGAGTAGATAACCCCACTGTATGAATTTTAAACAAAGTAAAAAATAAGACAACAGTTTCTAGTGAAATCTCTGGGTATTTTACAATATTTTCTGAATAAATGAATAAAAAATTCTACCATGTAGTCATACTACTGAAAACAAGGTAAACATGAGATTCTTAGATTGCTCAGTTTGGATATTAAGTATTAAACTTCAACATTACTTACCCCAGAAAGCTTTGCATTGTATTCAATCATTAAAAATATCAACCGTGGATTTTTATTTACACTTTGGTAATCAAGTAACAAATAGAGCAGAATATTACTATAATAAATAAGCAATGAATATAAGGTTATCAATAATTCTTGAACTTTATCTGACAAAAAACATTTTTGGAGATTTTTTTCTATAACCAACAAGACAAAGTAAATATAAGTGATGCTCTGTGGATGACATTTCCTAGAACCAAAATGTCTTCTATTCCTAGGAAATACAAAAAGATACGTACAGGTAATGCTATAATGCAAAAAACTAGAAACAGCCTTTAAAACCCATCAAATGGCACCATTTACATAAACATCCATAGCATAAAATACTAAGCAGCTATAAAAAGTATATGAACCTTTGCTTTTGCTTTTTTTTTTAATTTTTAATTTAACAATATACCTTGGAGTTTATATTTTAGAAGAACAGAATATACTGTTAAATGAAAATAAGCACAGTACCAATTAGTACATATTATCTGTTATCTAAGAAAGATGAAAATACAAATATATATTTGCTTATTTTTTAAAGGGATAAAGTCAAAGCTCAAAGAAAAAATACATACTTATATAAAGAGAAGGCACAACAGAAAAGGGGAAGAATAAAAACTGGATTTCTTTGAATGTATACTGTTTTATAGACTTTATTCTGAAAATGTGAATTGTTTACAAAATTATTTAAAAACTTCATCAAAGTGGGGAGGACGCAATCCCTAAAATCAAAATAAAAATGAAACTGAATCAATCTGTAAATTGAGTTGATGAATTAAACATAAAAAATTTGTAAAAGACTTCAAATACTATAAAATAAATAATGAGATCCACCTTATAGAAATCAAAGAAGTTTCAAACTGTCTTCAATAATCATACTGCCAATAACATGATTTTTAACTAGTAATATACTGCTATTTAATTCAAACAAAATTAAATAATAATGGGGAGCAAAAATCTCTTTAAAAGAAGAAAACAATGCAATTAAGCTAATAGTAAAATCAAATTGGTGGCCTTAGTTGTACAAAGAGTAATTATTTCAAATGACTTTAAATGATGGTAAAATATTATATTTCTAGAGAAAAAGAAACATGCAAAAAAATCAGGAAATTATCAAATGTCTATAAATAGATATAAAACAATGAAAAAAAAGTAATTACATTTATGTTAGAAACCATGATTTATAGCTCTATCCACATAAGAGGACTAAAATCAATCCACTAATAATGAAGATAGCCAATATCATTTGTTTAGTTTATAACACTTCCCAATTAAAAAAAAAAAAATTTTAGAGAAATCATTGGTTCCGGATCTGTTCATAATACTTAGAAATATAAAGGGAACGACTCAAGGATTTATTTGTCTTGCCTCTACTGAATAAACTATACTCAGAACAAGCATATGATGAAGGAAAAGCTCTTTATCTATTAGCTAAAAGAATTCTAGCTTATAAATGTAGAAGGAGTGAGTCCCACCAAAATCACCAGTTTTCATCTCCAGATAAAATAATGGATCTTCTAAGCAATGAGCAGGCTGCAACAACAATTAGATCAAATGTTAATGGGAAACTGGATAATGGATGAACCTGACTAACAATAAAAGAATCACCTGATCAACCTTAAAATCACAAAATAGGAGACCACAAGAAATTGTCTTCTGAGGTAATGCAATACCTATAGACAAAATTACCAATAAAGCAGTCTTGGCAAAAAAAAAAAAAAATCTGAATCTGCATAGTCTCTTAAGTCATTCATTTTCAGGAAATACAAGAATTCGGTGAGGTAGGGCACCCCTGAGTTCAAGCTTCAGTATCACCAAAAAAAAGACTAAAGAGACATCACAGACTAAATTCAACAAATGAACCTTGTTTCAATCTTCATTTAAATAAATCAATTATTTAAAAAATGAGACTATATGGAAATCTGAACTCTGGACTTTAATGTTAAAAAAATGTTGTTTTGCTTCCTTGATAATGATGTTATTAATTTTTAAGAGTTCTCTACTTTTGTAAGTTTTTAAAATTCCATAATAAAAAAACTTAAATATAAAATTATGTCAACCTATCTTAAGTACCAACATAGGTCATTTAGCAAAACGTGTACATATGTTAAATAAATATCTATTTATTTCCAGTTAGAGGCTATTATGTATAAAGCTATCTTGAACATTTTTGCATAAGTCTTTTTCAGTTCCCATGGATAACAACCTAAAAGTTGATCTGCTAGGTCACAGAGTGGGTTTATATTAACTTTATTAGAAACAGCCTAACAGTTTTCCAAAGTTTCCTTTTAAAATTACGTTTTAAATTTCATGAAGATTGTGTTAATAATTGACATGTTAATCATTCAAGATTTATGTCACCTTGAATTCTATTTTGCAAATCACAAATAGGATAAAATTCAAATGGAGGCAGAAAAAGCTTAAAACACCTCATCTTTAAGTAAGGCAATAAATAAGAAATCTAATGTGTTTGAAAATCACCAGTTGGTGGGGATATGGCGGGGGGGGGGGAATCACCAGTGAAATAATATATATAGTGTGCATGGGTGGGACACACTATATCTGCCACTCACACCATGAATTGGATTTTAAAATAATTGGAAGAGTATTGTGTTCATGTGAGATTAAGTGGATAATAGAAATTTTTCATTTGAAAATACAACTATAGTATTTTTTTACAGCAATGTTAAAAACTGGTCTTTATGAAAGAAAAGTAAATGAAAAGCAGAAAGCTCAAACTATATTGAAAAGGCTTCACTTCTCAAGGCACAGTCTCCCTACTTCCTTCATACAGATTAAGCCCCCCACCCAAGTGCATATCTTCTTTACCTCCCCAGGAATGCTTCCACAGAAAAATATCCACAGTACCGCTTCAAATTATAAGATGCCCCCAGGGAATGCTAAACACTCTTGTTTTCAGTGTGAGAGAAGTGGACCCAGTTACATAATGATAACCATCACATAGGGCAATGGACTATATTTTCAGTAAGCAGTGCTGGATTAACTGAATGCCTGTATATTGAAAAGAAAAAGAAAAATCCCAAGCTCTACCTAACATCTCACATAAAATTGATTCCTGACAGACTGTAGACTGAATTAGAAAGACAAAATGATAGTTTCTAAAAATAAAGTGATGTTATCTTCATAACCTTATGGGAGACAAGAAGTATACCAAAAAAGGCACTAACCATAAAAGAAAAGACTACAAAATTGGTCTTCATTATGTACCATACAATTGTATGGAAAGTGTCTGATATATATGTATTATATATATATCAGACACACAAAGGATATGAATACAAATCAAAAAATAGAAAAAAATTTAAAAGATAATGCAGTTATTTTTTAATGGGAAAAAAATATTCCAACTGGCACTTTAAACAGAGGCTATCCAAACACCACAGATACCATCAACAAGTACATGGTGTTTCATCAGGCATCTTCACTAGTGACTACGGAAATTCAAATTAAAACCACAGTGAATTACTATTAAATCCCCTAGCATAATAGCCAAAATTTTTTGAAAGCTAAAGATATTGAACTATTCATAAGAATGCAAAAAATTCTCCGATACTGCTGGTAGAAAATAAATTGTTAGTGTTTAACATTATTTATTAATACTGAACACGTGCATACCTATTGGAATACAACAATTCCAAATAAATACATCCTCAACAAAAATGTATAACAATATTAATGGGGCTGGAATTGTAGCTCAGTGGTAGAGTGCTTGCCTAGCATGGGTGAGGTACTGGGTTCGATTCTCAGCACCACATAAAAAATAAAGGTTAAATTCTTAAAAAAAAAAAAAGAAAGAAAGAAAGAAAGAAAAAGAAAAAGAAAAAAGAATGTTCATGGCAGTGTGGCAGTATTATTTCTAATAGCCCCAATTGGAAATAATTCAAATAACTATCAAAAGTACAATGAATAAGTAAATTATGGCATACTCATACAAAGGAATACTATATATCAATAAAATACTACACTGTTAAACACAATATGAATGAATCTCACAAATACAAATGATGAAAAACAAGTTATCACAGAAGACTCAAGTGTATGCTTCCAATAAGCAGGAACAACTAATCTGACAGATATCAGACGAACGGCTTCCTCTGGAGTTGTTTAATGGACTGAAGGTGGCTTCTGATCTGGGAGCTAGTAAAGCCTGTAGTGAGATGTTCACAGTATAAAACTTCATCAGGCTTTACAAATGTAACCTGTGCACTTACCTGTATGTGACTGTACACTTTAATTTAGAAGTTTACCCAAAATAATCTATTCCTTTTCTCAGTTTACTATGATATTCAACAATGAAAACATCTCTAATGGGCTTTCAGACTCTCTTGTTTGCTTCTCTGACTCTTGGTAGGTTACTTCCTGCTATAATCCTCTAAATGTGGACTTCACTCACAGCTCAATACACAACTACTCCTGCTTTACATTATGTGCCTTGGACAGTTCATTCTGTTCTATTCAAAGTGCTACTCCCAGCACCCTTCCAGAGTGGGGGCATATTGGACTCAATGCATATGAGTTTCTCTCTCTCCACCCATTAAACTATGGCAATGATTTCCTAACTGATCACCTTGATTTTACTACCTTCCACCTTCCATTCACATGTCAAACTGAATGTCTTAAAATGCTCTTTTTAAACCCATCATCCACTTTCTCATAAACATTAATTCCCCCAAACTACAGAAAAAAATCAAACCTGAAAAACCGGGAATCCAAGGAAGCCAACAAAAATCAACCCCCAACCAAAACCCCAAGCCTTTTTCCTAACAAGCAACTGGCAAACCAACCCAAATAAAAAACAACCAACAAAAAAAAAAAAAAAAAGTTGTTTTTTTTTTTAACCAAACCATTGTCCAGACTCCTGCCTTTCTTCATTCTCTCAGTCTAGAATATTCTTTCCTCTCCTTCTCAACCTGGCTACTTTATTCAAGGCCCATATCTTATCTCAATCCATGTTTATCATTCCCTACAATATTGACTGCTATTACTATTCACATGGCACTTAATCACCAATGTTATGGTTTAGGTATGATATGTCCCCAAAAAACTCACGTCTGAAACAACGCAAGAAAGCTTAGATGTGAAAAGACTGGATTAAGAGAGCCTTAACCTAATCAGTGCCTTAAGCCCCTGACGGGGATTAACTGGATGATAACTATAGGCAGGAAGTGTGTGGCTGGAGGACTGGAAGAGATGGGTCACTGGGGACATGCCTTTGGGGGTATATATTTTGTCTATGATAAGAGGATCCTCCGCCCCTGCTTTTGGTGCCATGTCCTGAGTCACTTTCCTCTGCCACATGATAATCCACTGTGGTGGAATATCATATTCCACCATGATATTCTGCCTCACCTTGGACCCCCAAAGAATGGAGTCAGTCATCTATGGACTTAGACCTCTGAAGCCTTCAGCCCCCAAATACAGTTTTCGTCCTCTAATTGTTCTTGTCAGTTCTTTTGGTTACAACAGTAAAAAAGCTGACTAAAACAACTACCATCAAGTTATACATTTAGGTATAAGACTATAAGATATTCACAGAAAAGGATAATATTTTATACCTTTTAGATATGAAAAGCAAGTGCTTAATAAAGAGTGGTAATAGTATGGTACTAATGACCAACCAGTAATTTGAAGACATCTTTAAAAATTAAAAAAGTAGACAGTCATTTGTCGACTTCAAATTGAACACAATAGGTTTCTTCTTTATTATAGTATTACTTTGGCTTGTGTAAATTAATTGCCATTAATAAAAACTATAAACAACTGAACAGAAGCAAAAGGTCTAGTACGAGGACAGCCATGGAAACTCTGGATAGAGCAGTCCTTGAAACAGCAGACTTATTCCTACCTAGTGCAGGCTGCATGAGAAAGAAATGGTGTCTATGTGATTTAATTATGAGTACAAGCTTGGAGATTATAATTAAAATAAAGAAGAGAGTCATCATTGGCAGGCTAAATGTCATTTTTGTTTTTTACTCCATCACAAAAATGCTTAAGGTAATATTAATATTGATCAGAAGATAAGAACTTATATTAATAAGTTAACAAATGAATGACATAAATGGATATACAAATGATACTAAACTTATAGGAATTTTATTAACTTGATGCATGATGTTCAATACAGATTTGCCTCTTCCCAAAAATAACTGGACACATAACTCTGTTGGTATTTACACAATCAAAACAACTTTTTAAAATTATCCTTGGGATCTTAAAACTAGAATGGTCATTTACTCAGCATTTTATACACAAGTGGTCTTGAGATTTATGGGTTTCTGAATAAACATCATATAATGTTAAAAACTGAATAACAACCATTTCTAAAATTTTACATCAACATTCAAAGTATTTTGTAAGATGCTCATGATTAATTTTATAATTGTATTAAACTAAACTAAAGAATAACTTCATTGTTAAAAATGCATATCATACATTTGAAAAGAGAGACTGATCATTTCTATTCTTATTTTAGAAAAACACTCAAATTTTCTGGACTTTGCATGCAAATATTTTCACCAACACTGAAAACATAAATAAGGTACCTTAACAGTATCCACTAAAGCAAATTTTTAGAATAACTGTAATCATCTTCCTCATCTTCTCACCTTCAGTTATTATTCAGCTGTACTGTGCATACACACTACTATTAATATGTGCAACAAGCCTCCTATATTAAAATAAAAAACAGAGAACACCATATATGCCACATGACACAACAGAAGAAAACAAGTGAGTACCATACCTGGGTTGTTATTAACATTACTTTTGGGAGGTTTCTGTACTGGTTTGGGAAGTGTAGATTCAGTCAAAGCTTTATTAGCAACAGCTTGTTGGGCCTTCTTTATACTGCTCCCTTCGGATTCCCATGTCTGCTCCCCAAGACTCAGCTGTACTGAGAACATCTTAGAAAATATAAACAGACAAAGAAAACATGAAAATTTTTTCAGGAAATAAAATGGGTTGTCTGAGTGAAACATACATACCACAGAATCAGAATTTTAGTAGTATAAGTCACCTTAGGGATAAATGCAACAAAAATCTTATTTTATCTAGTAAAATAATTTTAAGAGGTTGTATCAAATTGTATTAATGTAGCTCAAAGGTTAACAGCAGCTCTAAAAGTGTACATTTTGAGTAGAAAAAATCAGATAGCAAACCCTTCCCTAAATAGAATCATATTATTAATGTCTCAAATAGTCCCCAGAAAAGTACAATAAGTACAAATAAAAGAAACTGTCATAGAAGCCAAAAGGTCCTGTCACTATAAGGGATTTATTAAAAAGTAATAACTTAAATGTTATCCTTAGCACAACATAGTCAATAAATTAGGCAGCCCTATAAAATACTTTATCACCAAGAAATTCAATCCCCACAACGAACATTTAACCAGTCAGCATATTCTGTCCATTTTAACCTCATGAATATTTCTCAAATCTTCCTCTTCTTTCTGCCAATGACACCTCACTAGATCCAGCCTTTCATCATCTGTAGCTTAGACAATAATTTTCAAACTGCTGCTAAAACTACCTTTCTGAAATTCAAACCCAATTGTATTATCTCAACCAACACCAGGTTAAAAACCTTCAACCAAAGCTAGGAGTGGTGGCTGAAACAGGAGGATGGTTTGAGTTTGAGACCAGCCTGGGCAACATAGCAAGACCCTGTCTCCAAAAAAAAAAAAAAAAATTCAATTGTTATCATTTTAGCTTGACACAAAAGTTCTACTGTCTATTCTTATTTCACATACATTCTTTCTCTTCTACATTCTACATTCCATTCACACCATTATTTCCATATGTGCTCAAAACCATACTGTTCACCTTTAAAATTTAGGATCGAGTTAAACAATACATTCACAATCAGTTTGAAATCACAGACTGCTTATTACTTTGCAGTGTTAATACAAAAGTATTTATATTACAAAAATAAAATGTATCTTTGCAGCAAGATCACATAGAAAATATCTTAACCAAGTTATTAAAGTTAATATCAATAATCATACAAATTGACATCATGTGCCTCCTGATAAAATCCAATGAGAAGTACACATCAACAATTACATACTCTTCTTGGCCAACAAATCTAATCTTAAGGAAATGATCAGATCCAGATTTTGGGATAGTCAATAAGACAACTGGCCTAGACTCCAAAAATGTTGTAAAAGAAAAAGAAAAGGGGTGGGGGGCGGGGACAGTTATCAATTAAAGGACACTTAAGAGACATGAAAGACATGATAAAATACAATGCAAGATCCTTGAATAGATTTGTAGTGGGAATTTTAAAGAGGAGGAAAAAAAGGACATATAGAGGACAGCTGGAGAAATTCGACTATGAAAGATGCTGTGGTTTAAATGTGTCCTCCCCAAGTTTATGTGTTGAAAATTTAATCTCCAAATGTTAAAAGAGGCAGGGCCTTTAAGAGAAGATTAGGTCACAAAGGGTTTGCCCTCATGAAAGGATTATTTATTACCACAGAAATGGATTCTTACAGGAAGAATAAGCTTGTTAGAAAAGAAATGCAGGCCCCTCTGGCACTCTCTTGCCATTTAGCCTCCTACCAGGGGATAATGAAGCAAGAAGGCCCTCAAAGAATGCAGCCTCTTAATTTCAGCTTCCCTGCCTCTAGAACTATGAGCCAAAGGAACTTCTTTTCTTTATAAAACTTACCCAGTCTCTGGATTTCTATTATAGCAGCAGCAAACAGACTAACACAGACTATTACACAACATGACTAGTAAATGTTGGTTCATGAGTGATAGAGGATGGTTATGCAGAAAAATATCTTTAGTCTTAAATTAAGAAAGAAATGTATAAGTATTGTTTTTTTTAAAGGGAAGTTTCATGATGGCAGAAATTTACTGTCGAATTGTATAAAGATCTACACAGAAGAAGCAGGAAATGAAGTAATATGACAAATACACTGATTAGTAAATATAAAAGATACATAAGTCTTATTGTACTATTCTTTTTCTTTTTTTTTGTGGGGTGGGGGATACTGGGGATTGAACTCAGGGGCACTCAACCACTGAGCCACATCCCTAGCACTATTTTGTATTTTATTTAGAGACAGGGTCTCACTGAGTTGCTTAGTGCCTTGCTTTTGCTGAGGCAGGCTTTGAACTCTTGATCCTCCTGCCTTGGCCTCCCAAGCCACTGGGATTACAGGCATGCGCCACTGCACCCAGCTTGTACTATTCTTTTAGTATTCTGTTTTTCAAAACAATTGAAAAATCACCATTTGTAATTCAAAATATATACACATCTGTTAAAAATGATTAAATTTTCATATATTCTGATACAGTTTAAAACTTATACTTAAAATATATATTTAATACATTTACCTGATTTTAAAATTATTTTTCTTTTTTTTTGAATATTTACTTTTTAATTTTAGGTGGACACAACATCTCTATTTTATTTTCATACAGTGCTGAGAATCGAACCCAGTGCCTCACGCATGCTAGGCAAGCGTGCCACCACTTGAGCCACATCTCCAGCCCCAAAATTATTTTTCAATGAGCTCTTTTTATTTCAAATTTTGAAATTTAATGAAGAAAGTTTAAAGGTTTTACATTAGATATATATTATATATATCTCATAATTAAAAACAGAAATAAGTATGTAAATATTAGACCTTAAAATTCCTGATGGTATCAGGAAAGCATGTTAAATTTATTCTGGCCAAGTGTGGTGGCACAGGCATATAATCCCAGCAACTCTGGAGGCTGACACAGGGGCATTGCAAAATTGAGGTCACTCAGAAACTTAGTGAGACCTGTCTCAAAATAAAAAATAAAAGGGCTAGGAATGTAGCTCAATGATAAAGCACTGTTGGGTTCAAGCCCCAGTACTGTGGGGGAAAAAAATATATTCTGCATCTCTCCAAACATGACCTCTTTATAAGTAATAATCACATAAATTTAACTGCCCACTACATATTTCTACTAACTTAGGAGGAATAAGTCAAATAAATCATCATCTCCTCCATGCCACATCCCCCCATCAGTTTATACTCCAGGATAATCTGTCCATCATTATCCCAACAATTCCAGGTAAAACCTTAACAGCTTCTTTGATTATCTTTTCCTATTGGATCCAGAGATTCAAGAAATCTGTCAGGCGACTGATTATCTACGGAGGTAACAGAACAGATTTCAGTTAACTACACACAACAAGGAATATAGTCTATTATAGACTATACCCCAAAATTCATATTAAAGTCCTAATATGATAATATTTGGGAAGTGAGATCTTTGGAGATAATTATGTTTAGATAAGGTGAAGAGGATGGGTCTCCGTGACAAGATTAGTTTGCAAAAAGAAAGAAATCCAAATCTCTCTTTCTCCATTATGTGTGGATACAGCAAGAAGAAAGCATCTGTAAGCCAGAAAGAGAGTCCTTAACCAGGCAGTAAATTAGGTGGCACCCAAATCATGGTACTTGACATGCATGAATATAAATGACTTTGTTTTCCACAAAATGGATCCCATTAATATTGCTTAAATTTATAACTATCTTTCATTTAAGAATATGCCAATTATTGTAGTACATATTATTTTTTAAAAAGAGATATAAGGAACTGGGGATGTGACTCGGTGGTAGAGCACTTGCCTAGCATGTGCAAGTTCCTGGGTTCAATCTCTACCACCACAACCCCCCACCAAAAAAAAAAAAAAAGAGCTACAGCCAAAAGGAGTGGTCTATGACAAAAGGCAACTGAAGAAATAGGCATCGATTAGCAAAAAGAAGATTCTCAGTCTTAGAAAAACCCAAAAGGAATCCTGAGACTGCCTAGAAATTAAGAGTCTACAAGACCCATTCCCCCTACACACACACACACACACACACACACACACACCACAGTCCACTTTCACCACAATTCTGTTCAGCCACCAGGCATGGTGGTGTACATTTGAAATGCCAGAGACTCAGGAGGATAATGCAGGAAGATCACAAGTTCGAAGCCAACCTGTACAGATTAGCAAGGAAGACCCTGTCTCAAAAAATAAAAAGGGCTGTGATGTCGCTCAGTAGTAGACCGCCCCTTGGTTAATCCCCAGTACTGGGGAGAAAACATTCTGTTCAGACTTTGAAGTCTTGGCAGTGAACTATAAAGTTTATAAGCTGCTCAAAAACTTTCAGTATATTCCTAAAAAACTGTAGGAAAATCAGAATCCTTCTGGATTCCTCCAGAATTTTGCAAGGTAGTCTAGTCTTCCTTTACCACACACAGAGGGTAGAGATGGGAGTCAGTAACAGAACAATCCAGTTCATTTCTCTTGGGGTAATACCATCAGAGCTCTGGACTAAAACCTAAATATGCATGAGCCTTCAGGAGGAACAGAGCTAATTCTAATTATTTTAGCTAAAATACCACAGTCAGTGGTGTTTCAACACCACAGTGTTTCTACTTCTGCTGAAATGAACTCACTATAAGGATAAATAGTGCTCCTCAGACAAAATGTGAGTTCACAGAACTCTTTGAGAGAACTCTTTCAATGAATGCTTACAAATGCATCTTTTCTCTGGACTATAACAAGATTTAGGCCAAGATCATCAAAGTAAATATTAAATAGTGACTATTCCTTTGAAAAGAAATACATCAATCTTATTCTTTAATGTACATGCTGAATTCTTCTAACATCCTATTTCACAGATTTCTATTGTTCATGAACACATATAAATTACTTTTCCACTTTATAATGTTTTCACTTTTGAGCTTCAGAGCAATGTCAGGAAATTTTAACAAGGGAAAACTATTTTGAAATAAACAACAATACACTGGAAATCCCACTCTTTTCAAAGTTATAGAAAAAAAGAACCTTTAGTTCCTTTTTGTTTTTTGCTTTTCAGAAAAGCTGACTATTGTTATCCACACCTTGAATTTAGTTTTTCATTCAT